CTTTTGAGACAGGGTCTCCCTGTGGCCCCAGCTGTCCTGGAACTCACTATGTAGACCAGGCTGGCCCTGAACTCACAGAGATCCGCCTTCCTCTGCCTTCTGAGTGCTGGGATTAAAGGCATGTGCCACCACGCCCAGCTATTTCATCTTTTTTTAAAAATTTATTTTTTTATATGTATGTGTGTCTTGCCTTCATGGATGTAAGTGCACTTGTGTCGTACAGTGCCCACAGAGGCCAGAAGAGGGGTCAGATCCCCTGGAACTGGAGTTACAGATGGTTGTTAGACACCATGTGGCTGCTGGGAACTGAACCTGGAACCTCTGGAAGATCAACCAGTGCTCTTAACTGCTGAGCCATCTCTCCGGCCCCTGATACCTGTCTCCCTGTAGCCCTAGCTGTCCTCAAACTCACTATGTAGACCAGGCTGGCCTAGATCTCAAGAGGTCTGCCTGCCTCTGCCGGGATTAAAGGCATGCATCACCACACCATGCTCCTGATTTCATTTTTTTGGGGATAGGGTCCTAATATGCAGACAAGAAAGATCTTGAACTTGTGATTCTCCTGCCTCTTGCCCACAAGTGTTAGGATTATAGGTGTCCACTGCCATCTTTATGTTGGCATCTTAATGTATATTTGGTGATCTTCTTAGTGACCAACACTGGAAACAAAGACATTCTCTTTAAAATTTTTATTACATTTCAGAGAGAGAAAGAGACAGAGAGAGAGAGAGAGAGAGAGAGAGAGAGAGAGAGAGAGAGAGAGAGAGCACAGCACATGAGTGGAGTTAGAGGACAGTTTGCAGGAGTCCAAATCCTGATGGGTTCCACTCTGTGGGTCCTGGAAATTGAACTCAAATTGTCAGGCTTGGCAGCAAGTTCCTTTACTCACGGAGCCATCTGGCCATCCCACAGAGTCATTCTTCGTTCTGTGCGAGTATGCAGAAATAATAGAAATGTCATGTGGCTAATAATGAGGAATTAGTGAATACTATCTGCTTTATATCTCCATGTAAACTTGAGTCTTTGTTTCCCTTGCAGAGGAGGTGGCCAAGTTGGAGAAGCATTTGATGCTTCTCAGACAAGAGTATGTCAAGCTGCAGAAGAAATTGGCAGAGACAGAGAAAAGATGCACTCTTTTGGCTGCACAAGCAAACAAGGAGAATAGCAGTGAGTCCTTCATCAGCCGCTTGCTGACGATAGTGGCAGACCTGTACGAGCAGGAGCAGTACAGGTGAGCTCCTGGACATGGGACACGAGCCTATTTGCAAGCCCCTTTGTTTTATCCCTGACTGCATCACTACACATTGTAGTTTCTCCTCTTTGTTCTGTTCATTTGTTTGCACTCTTGGGCATTGAACCAGGGACTTTCCATATGCTAGGCAAGTGCTCCATCACTGACAGGTCTCACTAAATTGCCCAGGCTGCCCTTGAACTTGTGATCCTCCTGCTTCAGCCTCCCAGGATGGGATTACAGACTTACCACCAACCCTGATTCATCATTCATTTCCTTGCCAAATTTGTTTCTCTTGGGGCTGGAGAGATGACTCAGCAGTTAAGAGCACTGACTGTTCTTGCAGAAAACCTAGGTTTGAATTCTAGCACCCACATGGTGGTTAACAACACTCCAGGGGATTGGACACCCTATTCTGACCTCCTTGGGCATTGCTTGACATGGGTGCACTTCCATTCATGCAGGCAGTACGCTCATACACATAAAAAGTAAAAAAAATAAAATACTTAAAAATATTTGTTTCTCTCTAATCAAAATCATTTACAATAAACCAGGTATGATAGTTCATACCTATAATCCCAATACTGGGGGAAGGCTGAGGCAAGAGGATTATCATGAGTTTGAGGCCAGCCTCTGCTACATTGTGAGCTCTAGTCCAGTGTGGGCTGTATCAGAGTGAATCATGGTCTTAGAAAATCTAAAACAAGAGCTGGTCTGATTGCTCAGACAGTAAGGTGCGTGAGGATCTGAGTTTAATCTCTGGAACCCATGTCAAAACAAAGCTGGACCTGCTAACAGGTGCCTATAATTCCAGTGCTAGGGAGGCCAATATAGGCAGATCCCTGGTATTCACTGCCCAGCCAGTGTAGCCTAAGTGGGCATGTTCCAGTTCAGTGAGAGATCCTATAACAGGTTTATAGATGGCTGGGAATTGACACTCAGGGTCCCAAGGTTGTCCTTTGACTTGCACATGCTCACCTGTACCATCATATAAATATGCACACACACACACACGCATACAACCAAAATATTAAAAAAAAAAGATCATCAGGGACTGGAGAGATGGGTCAGCGGTTAAGAACACTTGACTGCTGCTGGGTTTAATCCCCAGCACCCACATGGTGGCTAACAACCATCTATAACTCCAGTTCCAGGGGATCAGTGCCTTCTTCTGACTCTGAGGTCATTGCATGACATGGGTGCACTTACACACATGGTGCACTTACACACATGCAGGCAATACACTCGTACATATTAAAAGTAAAATAAATAAATTTTTTTTAAAAAGATGATCGACAGCCGGACATGGTGGCGCATGCCTTTAATCCTAGCACTTGGGAGGCAGAGGCAGGCGGATCTCTGTGGG